CCTCTCTCTCTCCCTCTCTCTCTCTCTCTCTCTCTCTCTCTCTCTCTCTCTCTCTCTCTCTCAGGTTTCGAGATAATCACGTGATTTAGTGTGTTTTGCTAATTCAACAAGCAAAAAACATTGTTGTTTTTGTTTGACTATCCTTCACGAAGATACATGCTCTCTCTATATCTCATTTACCATGACTAAATCAAATTTGATCGAATTTGAGCTAAAGACTAACAAATAAGTGTTTTATCAGACCACCCTTGTAGGAATGTGTTTATTTCGACGCAGTAATCCCAGAATGGTCGGATCAAACGCATTTATTTCCTGCGTCTCGTTAACCATGACCCCGTAAATCGCTGCCGTAAGAAGGATATTATATTGTTACTAGCTGGGCCCCCTTTCGATGAAAGGAATGATCGGTGCATTAACATCAACTGAAAGTCATTGGCCTACTATTATTTACACTCTACTGGAATGGAGCAATAATCGATAGTAAATGGAAAATTCACTTGTTTACAATGGCATCTTAGGAGACGAACTTCCCCAAGATTAGATCTAAACGAAACTAATGAAAAATAATTAAACTATAGTGACTTCGGGCTCCTCAATGAAACTATGCATCCTGTAAGTGATTCTGAAAGAACAATGAATAATTTTGTCAAATTCGAAAGTTCAAAAGTTTTAGGCGGCGAAAGTGTCGAAATTTCACAAATATAATATGTACAGATGATTCTTGAACATACCGACCGAAAGGCGAAGTTGTGACCTGCCAGTGGATCTTATTAAGAATAGAAAAGTTTCTGCACTCTGTCTTACTGAAAAACGCCACGTTGTAACTTCTTCTTTTTGTATATTTTCAGGGGACACTGCTGTAGCCCTCTCGCGTCAAATCTCTCACTGGAAAAGTTATTATAGAAAGGAGCTCACAGAAGTGGAAAAGAATCCGGGCTACAAGCCACGATGGTCACTCTACAATGATCTGGATCAGTTCTTACGACCGGTTTTCCTAGAGAGGGTAGGACTGCATGTTTATTTGAAACATCGTTGTCTTTCAGGTCTTCCCTGGTCTTCTTCTAGGGGTTCCCTGTCAATTTGTGAGGCATCTTGGTGAAATCAGGCGCTCGTCAAAATATGAAAATTCGAGAAATCAGCATTTTTCGGCCAGTTTTGGACTTTTTTTTTCTCGATTTTTTTGTGTTTGTTTTTTGGCTCAACCTCTTGTATGTCAGTTCAAAAAACACTTTTATGTTTGGATTGTATTGAAAGACGTCGATAAGGGGCACAACAAGTTTTAATTTGCAGTTTCCAAAGACTCTTAAGCTATGGAAGTCACCAAACGTTTGCGGCCATTTTCTCGCCAATTGTTGTTCTGAACCCAGGCGACCCCCACCCCGTTCTTCAATCGCAAAAAAAATCGCGACTTTCATTCCAGATAAATGGACGTTTATTTCCTTGAATGCAGGGGGCAAATGAATAACATTTGAGATAAAACAAATAACTCCTCCTCCTCCTCCTCCTCCTCCTCCTCCTCCTCCT